AGAAAGTGCAGCAGTTGAACGACTAGCACCGAGCAACGATCGATCGTAGTCGCGCGACTGAATTGCCCAAGTCGTGGGGTATGAACGCGGTCCAATGATCAAATAGTGCGAGATTGATGGCCTTTATTGTTAGAGCAATACCCATTATTTTTCAAGTTAAGACAGGAAAACAGTTCTCGCACTAAATTGATTATTACGAGGAAAATGAAGCCAGAGCGCACCGGTTCCGTATTGGGTGGGGCGTCGAAATGAGAACACTTGCACAAAACTTCGCAGCTTCGCACGAGTTTACAGCTCACGTCAAAATGATACCTTCTAGTTGACAATATGAGAAATCAGCGAAGGTACAAAATGCTTTCAATAAGCGGAATAAACCCTGTTATCAACCCTTCACCTTAGAGAATATCACGACATAAAGCAACCTTATCATACGTACCAGAATTTCAGAGGGGTGAGGAAGACGTAATCCTCGGTTACAGGCTTCCTTGAAGAAGATTTCGGCGAATTGTCTGAAATCGAAAAAGTTTCAAAATAATGCACAATGGCCGTCGACAAGAGATACCGGCAAACTCACGTTATTAACCTTTGGACATCTCTCTTGTTTTGTTTGGCTACCAAGCCATAAACGGCCCACACTCCGCATTCTGCCGGTATTAAAAGATGTCCACGAGGAGTCCTAAACACACTCTCGGGAGAAACTGGAAACCACGGTAACTGTTTAGAAAACGTACCTCCATTTCCCATCTCTAACAACAGCTAAGTCATCGCGATATCTCAGCTTAGGAGGTGGTAAGAGCCTTCCTTCAAACTGCAGAACAAAGTATGAATGGACAGGTATACTGGAAATTGAGCAGTACGATCCTTATAGGCTCCTTATAAATACTACAAGCCAGACTTGCTGACATAGGATCGTGTCTCTTCAGACTCCAAACAACTTCAAGGGACATCGGCCCCTTCGAGCAACTATTTGTCTTGGCGTTCACCAGGAGAGGGACGGCGCAGATCTAGTAAAGTGTTAGAAAAACAATCAAGACAATATGGAAACATGTGAATCTAGCTAGTCACCCTTGTTGTTCTATGACTCTGATCCGGTGTCTGTTGTGGTAATTGTGACCCTTTGCATTTGGAGCAGGTTATCCGCTCCATGCGGATAATTGTTATTGCGACACGTTCACGAACTATATAATCAATGGAGCGTTGCGATACGGGAAACACAGAATTAAGTGCTGAATTTAGTTCTTTGAACAGATGCCTGGGCGTGTCAGGGGGGGAGGACAGGCTGGGTATGGCCAACTCGTTCTCCACCCATTTTGGTAGCCTTCCATTTCCCACAACTGTAGACAACGGATTGGCCATAAGCGTGGTCAAACTCAGCCCTCTGCAAACCAGCGTCCACAGCGAACAGACTTGCTCTTAACTCCGTTGGCACGCGAACTAAAACCGAATAGCTCACTCTTCAGCCTTCTACCGTATTTCTCCTCGAAATAATCAAATACGGAAATCCTCCGTCCATCGCGGTCTTCGAATCTGTAACAAAAAAAAATCCACAGAGGTTGTAGTCAAAGATTTACTGAAGGAAGAACACTTCAAGCAAGAACAACGATTAGGCAGCCTAACTTCGAAGAGCACGATTAGGAGAGCTCAAACAGTTTGTTCGTAGGAAAATTCTGTAGAAAGTAAGTACCATGTCGACAAACTGCATATTGCGCGTTTTAACGCACACTCCCCGGCAATGCCGCCAAGTCTCGGGTAATGGTCACGCCACGTCTTTGTACACGCGAGCAGTTACGAGGAAAAAAGTGTACAGAATCCTTGGTAACGACTCGAGAAAGGTCCCAGTAAGCACTCGGAGAGGCGAGAAACCAAAAACAAGCGCCCATCTAAGCCCACATGAAATGGAGTAACCTCTACCGGCGATCATTCTACCATGGCTGCTGCGCCCCCTCGCACCCAGTAGAACTACGGGGCAACTGTGATACTACGGATCAACCTTGTACAAGGAGTTCGGTGAGCCAGGCAACCGAAAAATGTGCCTTTAAGACCAGTTGTGGGTCAGAAAATTCTTAGGCTGACGCACAAGGGAGCAGTGCTGCCTCCTCAAAGCAAGTAAACCCGCAACGGCGAATCGCGTGTGATGGGATCCAGATGACAGTTCTAAACGCTGACTCACCAAAAGAAGAAAAACGATTCTCAAAAATGACCTCAGTGAGGCCCAGGCAATGCGTAATCAATTTACGAGGCGAGTAAATGAGGGAAAAACACACACACACACACACACACACACACACACACACACACACACACACACACACACACACACACACACACACACACACACACACACACACACACACACACACACACACACACACACACACACACACACACACACACACACACACACACACACACACACACACACACACACACACACACACACACACACACACACACACACACACACACACACACACACACACACACACACACACACACACACACACACACACACACACACCACACACACACACAACACACCACACACACCACAACACACACACACACACAACACACACACACACACACACACACACACACACACACACACACACACACACACACACACACACACACACACACCACACACACACACACACACACACACCAAAACACACACACACACACACACACACACACCACACACACACACACACACACACACACACACACACACACACACACACACACACACACACACACACACACACACACACACACACACACACACACACACACACACACACACACACACACACACACACACACACACACACACACACACACACACACACACCACACTTCAGTCCACAGGAAACGGAGCAACTTCTACAGGTGGAGTCCCTTCTACCGGTGATGACTACTGCGCCCCATCGCTAACTGTAGAGACCTGACATATGGATCGCACTTGTATGAGCAAGTTCTCTGTGAGCCAGGCAACCGAAGAGTTTGCAAGACCAGTTTTAGGTCAGAAATTTCTTAGGCGGGCGCCATGGCTTGAGATCTCTATCAAAATGACCTCGTCCCGCATTGAGGTCTGCCGTTCGTTTGTTGGAATGCTGTTTCACTTCTGCTGCATAGCCTATCGCCCGAAATGCAAATCCTTGCCACTAGTATGGAACAAGGACCAGGGGGCAAAGTCTCACTGAACACCCTCTCAACGATTTTTTTGTCTTTCTTCACGGGTAAATCACCTTCCAAACACACTTTTCTACCCGCTTTCTATCCTCTTTTCTACCGGCTGATGGCTGACACAAAAGTCATGCTTTTCTTTCTGATGTAAAGTTCTAAACAGCATGCCAAGTTATTGACGTGCCATTCAAGACTGTATGCCGAGGAGGACCAAGCAGGAAAATCATTCCAATATGACATGTATGAAAACTAATGTAAGCACTAAATCTTACGTTGTCTCTATGGCAGTGTGCCTTGTTACACCAGTAATTTGATGATCACACTCGGGTCCCATGTGTTTTGTGTAGAAGAATAAGCCTGAAACTCTTTCTGCGAAGATGATCTCATGCATGTACGAACCCAAAAGGTGAGTGTTATCCTTGGGCGCTTAGGATCACAGAGCCTGTGATCCCGAGCCCCAAAGAAGCGCAGTTCGGCGACGGTAGGATAAATGATGGTACTCCGCACTTTTGCTACTTCCCTTCGAGCCATCACGAGGACCTCTGAGAGCTTGTAAAGCCACGAAATGACATCAGCCAAACTCTGTAGAGACCGCCTGTCAACCCTTGTAAAGTAATGAAATACCACACAAACCACGGTGGCTCGACGAGCTTGCCCCTTCTTTACAGGAGTTCACGTTTCAGTGAGACTAAAACGGAACTAGTCGCTGCGAAGATGCAAGATGCCCCACCTCCTCGTCGCCAAACTGTGCCCGAAAGATATGGTGTCTTCGGACCAGGGCGTGCAAGGAAGTGTGTGACTCAACAAAAAACTTGAAGCCAGCAAAAGTGCCTACCTCTTAGACTAGAGTTCAGCCGCTCCAGTTGCATATCTGTGAGTCTGCCCTCCAGATTATCATCGAGAATGAGTTTTGCTTTCTCAATCAAAGGTATATCCTCATGAAACGCAGCTTTTTTGGCTGAAAAAAAGGTATCATGCTAGGTCCAATATCAGTTTAACAAACACGCCTAATTCTTTGCAGTGCTTGCTTCATAAACGGAGATGCGGTAGGCCTTCTACCATTTGGAAGCGAAAAAACTTATTGAATGCGATTGGTCCATACAACAACTTGATGTAAAGGTTCTTATCCATACGATCGGATATGCTACCGATTCCCTGTCCCGGGGTAGGGGGCCTGGTTGGAGGCGGGAACCCATCCGGGATTTGACCCCCGCCTCGCGCCGTTGTTGCATCCTAAAGTAGTTTTGAAATGTTCGACTTGTTACTGAGCCACCAGGAAGAGGACTTTTGGCCCAGGTTAAAAAGATAAGGGGAAAAGGTTTTGGAGCAAACTTGAAATGGACGGAGACCCTTTTCGTTATCACACTCTCTCTCCCACAAGCTAAGCCGAGTCGTTCTTTTGCACCACACCCATTCCTAGATTATTTTCCGTATTTTCCAGATCTATGTTGCGTGAGTGTTGGTTTTAGGTGTCAAAAAAGCCCGCCGCGATCAGAGGATGAAATCCCGGGTGGACTCGAGCCAACGTAGCCTTCCAGCCAGCGTGGCCATTGAATTAGCGCAAGATTTGTTCAGGAGGATAGAAATATGAAACTAGCACTTTTGCTGACCCCCGATGAGTTGTAGGCTAATCGCATTCATAAGTCACAATAAATTCAGAGAATGAATTAGAGTGAACTTGCCGTTCCGCAGTGATCGAGTGGAAACAAACCTTCAACTTTTACTTTGATCGCGAAAATCAAACTAACCGTCAATGATAAGGGCCGGATTGTTATAATTACGTCCCAGAGGCCCTTCTATGAAGCGGACACTCTTCTGTGTACCAGGGAAGAGTCGCTTTCCACCACCAACATCTGGGCAGTCTCTCTCAGTAAAGCCAAACAACCACGGATGACACATGAATACCTTCCCGTTTTCGAATACTGCATGTTCTTGACTGTAAAGGAACAAGTAAACTTGGACATGAGCGGTGTTACTACTAAGAAACTGACGGGTTCGTAACAGCCATTTGATTGAAAATGAGCTCCATAAATTGCGTAACAGAGCGATCATTCTGGGAGAGATCCGAATTGGCAGTCTTTTCCAACATTACTTTCTCCGTTAGGGACATCTAAAAAGACAGGTAGAGAGAGACATGTTGCCATGCAGCTTACCATTACCATGAAGAGCTGTCAAAAAATACTCACACAGTAGCCCTCTTTTACTGGGGCAATGTCGAAGGTAATAGTTTCGATCACAGAAAGCGAGTCATGCTTACAATCCTTGCCAGAAACGTGGAATTTGATGTCAGTCTAGGAGAAGGAGATAAAGAAAAGAACAACTCGCAAAATGTGTCTCCAATGACTTTTACAAAGCGTTCATACTTTGCGGCAGTGTTTTCGCGTTCGAAAGCGTTTTGCACGTTTCAAGCATTATGTAAATACTACTAGAAAATGACTAGAAAAGTATATGTATCGACTCATCCTCTGAACGGCCGACTTCCAAAGCCCACCACCCTTTGGAGCAATTAAGCGTCGGTGTCTTGAGTGTTTACCAGCGTTTTCAGCGTCCGCTAGCGTTCCCAACCGTAACCAATACGTACACTTTCCTAGTCGCTTACGCTCAAAACGCTAAATTGATAAGTACACATTTCTAATCCCTACAAATGCTGGTGAACGCTCGACACATTGGGTCGATACCTGTACTATCCCAGTCACTCAAACTCTTCCGCTCGAAACGCTAAAAATGCTGACAGACGCCTAAAACGCTACCGCAAAGTATAAGCACAAATTTGGGCAAGAAGAAGTCCTAGCTGTAAAAAAAGCAGCGTGAACCTAAAGACGCTATTTCTCTTTGGTAAACTTACACTGTCACGACCTCTGAACAGGTCTTTCCCCGAAAACAGTATGCTCTGACCGTCATACCACAACTGGCTCGGATCATCGAAAAAATTTGCGTTCATTCTTACAACGGCATCAAAAATAAGCTTGCACTTGTAGTTGCGATTCATGATCAGGTAGCTGAAACAAACAAACAGAAAAATAAAACAAAAAGTTTCCTTTTAGGCCGCGTTCATACTTTGCAAGTGAGGAAACTGGGCGATTTGAGGTTGCGATTTGAGAAGTTGCGCGACGAGGAAAGGCGTAGACAGACTTGCTTTATCGACGATTGCACACAAAAGACCGAATGGGCATCGATCTATGCCGGTTACTAGCGATTGCGGAGATTCGGCGATTCGGCAATCTCGCAAAACGCCGGATAGCCGAATCTCACGATCGCTCAATCCCCCTGTCGTCGGCGATACTTGAACTATACTCGTTGCGCTCTCAAATAGCTGTGTCTCCCAAATTCAAATGTTCCGAGCAGCATAGTATGATACGACCTTGAGCGGCAACAATTCCGAGCGGCAATGTGATCAAGGCATTTAAATAGAACGCCTGGATATAATAAAGCGATAACGTACTCGTCGCGACCTTTCTTCGTAAAGAACACAGGTTTCCTCCCGGCCCTGATTTCAGCATAGATAGATATGTCATATCGCCAGAAAGCCATTGGCTTTTCCAATTTCACACCGAATGCGTTGGTTTGTACAGGGAAAGGTTTTCCTAATGTGCCTGCGGGGGCATTTTTGGCCATAATCGGCTCCGCTGGTTGCAGCTGAAATGATCCTGCGATAAATTTCTGTATTTCCAATAAACGATACTGCACTATAATGTCCTTAATTTATTTGAGAAGAACTTCCTAAATTTACACGCTTCGCTTCTTACGCGCCCCATAAGAGTTGAAACACAGTCATGACTGGAGAGCCCCTTCCCTTGTACAGAAGAGAGTTTGAACAAATTTCTCGCTCCACATATTGTGGTTGCTACCCCAGCAGTCGTCTAGTTCTTCGGCGCAGTTCGGCGACGGGGTGGAGGGGGGGGGAGAGAGTGGGGCATTTTGCTTCCCATCGATGTGTCGACCCATCTAGATAGCCTTTTCTTGAGTTGACACGTTTTACCATGGTGGCTAGACGAGCTTGCTCCAGCTTCACAAGAGTTCACAAGTTTCACCAGACTTGTAAACCGGAAGTAGTGAAGCAATGGAAACCAAAATGCCCCCCCCATCGCCGAACTGCGCCTAGTTCTTCTTCACGATTAGCTAAATGTAAGATGTTATAAAAATCAAAACTCACGTTGAGTGCTTCCATCTTGGCTTGCGCCTCGGATAATAAATCCCTCTTCTTAAGGGCTAAACGGTAGAACATGAGGAAGGAAATGAGGGATGAAACCAAATCGTCTACCCACCTGCCTTTCCAGCATCACCGCCTCCTCCTGAAGTCGCCATTGCTGGCCGGTAACGTATTCACAAAATCCTGTAAGAAACTGAGGTGAACGTGGATGGTCACCATTTAGTTCATTTGTCATGACACGCACGACAATAGACATGAATAGCCGCTCTTTTCCAGTAAGCCTGCGTTCATACTATGCAAACGAAGGTACCGAGGTATTTAGACAACCGGACAACACAAGACAAGTAACCCGAGAAAGAGTGAATACGTCAGGTCTTTGTTCAGTCAAATCACCGTTTTTTTTATTTTAATATCACCAAGTATGAACGTGGCCTTAACAGAAATCGTTAATGTATCGAGGTAGCAAAAAAATTATCAACAAACAATGCTTACGAAAACTGCAAAAGCACTCCGTAAGGTAGTGTGCTAAACCACAAGGGCGCTATCATAGCTGGGTTTAGGGGAGGGGGCACTCGACCGTGCATTTGTATCTCTTCTTCAAACTAAACTAAGGCAAAGAGCACTGACGACCAAACTTGCCGAGCGATAGTTTCGGAGACAAGGAAGAATGTTCCCTAAGCCATGCATTGTTATACATAGTGGTTGGCGAGTATGGGGAGCGGACAAGACAATCGCCGTAATCGTCGCGCGCGACGCGTTACGGGTGGGGGGGGGGCTAGTTCTCGACGTGTTTAGTTTGTCATTTGGAGCAGCGAAGCCCGTATGTATAAGCAGAGACAAGTCTTCATAATGACCATTATCAAACTTTCTGATCCTTCAGTACACAACTTCAAACGGCCGTACAAAACAACTCACCCGTACGGCGCGGCGCCGCTCGCCACGCCCACCAGTGCGGCATATTACGACTGTCTTGTCACATGGTCCACCCCCCCCCCCCTCCTAACTACGGCGGGGCCGCAAATGACTTATAGGAACGGCAAGATGGGAAACTAACCTCCAACGCTTTATGGTCAGTCCAGAAGCAGTTTTTAGAGAGCGTGTACACAATACTGTCGCAGTCTTTGCAATCGGAACGGCTAATGCCTGTTTGGACGCGCACAATTCTGGCACCGAGCTTTTTTTAAAAGGGCCTAAATCACCGCTTCGCTGAAAGCTTGCACATGGGTAATTTAACATCCTGATTACGAGTATGACACTCATTCTTGGCGCTGGCGCCAAGAGAGGACACTACGATTACCTCCTGGGCTCAGCCTTAGCAGAGCGCAGGTAACCGTAGTGTCATCCATTAGCGCCAGCGCCAAAAATGAATGTCATATTCGTAATCAGGATGTTAAAT